AACTGAACGCTTGCGTAGAGACATGGAGCAGGATGGTATTATTGCTCACTTTTAGAAAAGAAAAAGTTAATAATCAGTTAGTAAACGCGTGTGTTTACTAATTTCTGGAGTATTTTACTACGTTCGCGGCATACTTTTGCTAGTACATGTTGTAACTTTAGCCGTTACTAACCAGGGAACCTTTCTTAGTGTTGTTTTTAACTAGGCAACTACAAAAACCACCTACGTTGCCAGATCGGTCGTAGATACCGTAGTACATTTTGCCGTAATGGTGAGATTGTAAGCAAAATTTAGGCAAGCTCTAATTTTATTGACTACCTCGGAATAGAAGTTTCGTGCTACGTAATGGCACACACATAAGTAAATAGAAGGGGACATGATCATGCATAGGAAGTGACAATTATAAATTTTTTGACTGCTAAACAGTACGCGGTATGTGGTCCTATTAAATAAGGGATATATATATATATAGCCTTCAAACTGCTGCTACAGTTGAATTCTGCTATCTTGATTTACTTGTGCATGCATTTGCATGCGTTTTCTCGTGATCCGCTCACAAAAGATTCACATATGATCATACATATGTGAATTTGATTTGATCATATGATCATGTCGTCAATGCTCTATAAGTATGTTGCTGTGCTGCGCACTTAACCCGGTATTGTTGCCGTAATTAAAAGCCATTATTAATTTACGAGGGCCATGTCGATTCGTTTTTTATCCTATACTTTTGTGATAGAATCATATTGATATGGCCACGCACACGAACATTCAACAATATAGGCCTAAGCCTCTATTTGCGGGGGTTACTAACAATTTAGTAATGAACTGACCACTCGAGTCAGCACTATTCACTTACTAACTAGGTAGTAATTTTAACTACCCAACGACGTAGTGCTTTTACCCAGCTCGTTGGCATTTGGGCTAGTGTTTGTTACGAGCCCAACGAGATAGTGCCTTTCACTAGGGTTACTTTTACTAGCTGCATTTACTATCTGGTTAGTGGATTCTGTGACAAGTAACGGGCTTGTACTCAGTCACTATACCAACCTTCTTTCTAAGTGTGTACAATAACAAAAATCCAGCACTCTTAGAAAAAAGGTTGGTAAAATCGCCAAGTACTAGCCCGTTAGTTGTCACAGAATGTGTGGCCATACCCATATTTTTATTTTATTTATAAAATACTGCAGGCCCAAACAAGGGCCCAAGCAGGAAGGGGAAAAAGACACAAAGCAAATAAAGGCAGAGAAATCGCATACTCAGCAAAAAAATAACACTGGCATGTGTACAAAAGAAACTGCAGCAAAAAAATAAGGCAAAAACTACATAATTCCTTTAAGAGTGGTACGTCAAGGTGAAGCGACAAAAGTAGAAACATCAAACAAAAAGTTTTCACACACTGAAATAAGACCATGTGGTAAAAGCTCGTCAGACATATATACACAAAGAGGCATGAGATAAGGCAAGTGACCTTGGCTTTTTAAACTAAGGATCAAGGAACAGAAAGATAATATATAATTAAGCTATAAAAATTGGTGCATCATGGTCAGAAGTTCAAATAGTAATATGATTCTATTACAAAAGTGTAGGATAAAAAAAACGAATTGACATGGCTCTCGTAAATTATTGATGGCTTTTTATTACGTCATGTAACTATGCTGGGGTAAGTGCGTATCACAACATACTTATAGAGAATTGATGACATGATCATAGGATCATGTGTTAATCTCATATGGAGTCATGAGCATATGACACGCTCACATGTTCATATGAGTCCATATGAGCATATTATTTTCATACTTGCATGATTATATGCTCATATGAGTATGATCGGATCACGAGAACACGCATGCAAATGCTCGCACACGGAAGTCTTCAAGACTAGGGCATAGCAGAATTCAACTATAGCAGCAGCTTGAGGACTATATATATACCCCTGCTTTGTGGCCGCACTCACTCTGCGTACTGGTTAGCAGTCGCAGAATTTATCAGATAAGTGTTGTTTGCTACGCATCATCATGTCCCCTTCTATTCACCTATGTGTGGGCCATTACGTAGCACGAAACTTCTATTCCAAGGTAGCCAATAAAATTTAAACTTGCCTAAGTTTGGATTACGATCTCGCCATTACGGCAAAATGTACTGCGCCATCTATACGACCGATATGGCAACGTAGGTGGCTTAGTAGTTGCTGTTGCGACCGGGGTTCGTGGCACCGGAGATCCGAGATGAAGATGTCGAGGCAGGAGGAAGTTGACTTATTAGAGGGAGTTTATTCACATTATGTACATGGCACGGGCTCCCTGGTCCGAAGCTATACTTTGAAAAAGGCTGTCTATTGAACAAGCTCCGTGAAGCAGCCCGCGAGGGCTGAATAAATAGTGTCATTTCCCTAGATCGGGGAATAGGTCCATACGGCACTGTCCGGTAACATGTACCGCAGCACACACGAGTGTCATCATTATGTCGACAGCGCCCCCAAACAAGCACACATACCCAAACCAAACACGTGTACTGTATCGGGGATGCTGCTGCCTCCGGCTAATCTTGCTTCCAGCGAGCGGGGTGAAACGTGCTTGTCATCTCGCCGCTGGCGCCGACCAGCCAAGCTTTGTCGAACGGCGGTCGTGGTCTAGGCGCCTCCGAGGGGCCATACCTGGACATCTGGTACTGCTTTGAGCGTCGGCGGCTCGTCAGTCAGAGACACACACAGCGTGGTGGTGGTATACGACGTCCGTAATCGGCGGAAGTTCGGCATTGTGGCTTTTACCAGGGCACGAAGACGCCACGTGTCGCATCTCTGCGCGGACCCCAAGGACAGCGGTGTTCGGTAGAGTAATATCAGTCACGGAGTGCCCAGCACGTGGAAACAGCAGGGCGTCTTGGGCACTGCTCCTTATCTCCACAAAATGACGAGGCGGCTGCCTTTCTTCCCTTCTGGCGGACGCGGCAAAAGGGTGGCCCGCCAAACGCAACATTGCCCAGATAAAAACCCTAAGAAAGGTTCCCTTGTTAGTCACGGCTAAAGTTACAACCTGTACTATCTGGTGGCTCGTAAAGGCATGCCGCGAAGGTAGTAGAATACTCCGGAAACTAGTAAACACACGTGTTTACTATTTGACTACTAACTTTTTTCCCAGGAGTGTAATTTTAGCCCAACCGAGTGAGGGCCGTCACCTTAAAATCTGCTCGAATGCGCAGCCATCTTAGGCAGCATCTTGTAAACATTAGCTGGTATACTTGTCATGTGTAACTGATTTGGCGTAGTGGTATTCCACGCGGGCGAGTGGCGGAAATTAACTGATAATCACATGCCAGCATGCAGACAAGTCGGTCATTCATTTGGTATCTGCCGTATTGTGTGCTTACTTTTGTCGCTTTTTTTTATCGTTGCATGCATTTCTGGTTGGCAGCTCGTTTTTCCCTCGCCGTACTTTATATTCCCACCCGTCGCCTACTGCGCAGCGTTGTGCTGTCTCCGCCCTTTCAGCGATTGCACTTTATCGCGTCGTTTTTTACAGCACACGGCCGTTTGGAGGTCACTGTTAGAGCCTTCGCTGAATGACTGCCATCTTTCTAATACCGCCGCGTGTAGTCTGAGAACATATTGTTTTGATGTGTGAGAAGTTCATTATTATTCTGTCGCGGCGCCTGCTTGCTGCTTTCTAAGGGAACTTCCGGTGGACCGTATAGTTTGTATACGGACCCTTTTCCTACTATTCTTTCTTATCCGTGCTGCCGAATGGTCTCTGCTATCTTTAGCGAGGGTTTGGTGTCTTGATAGCCTTAGACAAAGGGCAAAATAAATTATTGCAAAATAAGGCCACCGAACAAGATAATTTGCGGCTCTTTCGTTGTGTATCACCTGCCGTATGCGCACCTGCTGACGGGTCACCCATGAAGCAGCGTTGTAGTCGTTACTGAACAAAAAAGTAACTAAGTACATTACTCGTCGCTCTTAAAAACGAAAAAGAGGAGGAAGGCGTTACCCACTACGTTACCCACAAAACAATGTTACGTGCGTTACCGTTACCAAAAAAAAAAATAATAACGGGCGATTACTTCTGCCGTTACTCCGCAATCATAAATTTCAATCAATGTGTCTTTTGAATTTCTTAGCTGTTATTACGTTTATGGTTTCCATAAAACGTATACTCCAAATAAATGTATTACCCAAAATGCTGATCTAACTCGAATGATTTGAAGAAATGTACCGTATCTAGGAATGTTTTAATAGCTTGGAGTTGCCTGTAATCCGTTTCGATGAAACGCTGGCTATAGGGTGCTCGGCTGCTGACCGAGAGGTCGCGAGTTCGATCGCAGACGTGGCATTTCGATTGAGGCGAAGAGGCCCGTGTATCGTCAGTGCACGTTGTTAAAGGACACCAGATGGTCCATATTTTCGGAGCCCGCCACGACGGCGTCTCTCACAACCATATCTCGGTTTTGGGATGTAAAACTCTAGATATAATTCTTGAAGAAATTTAAACGCAGTATGTAAAATATAAAGTGCAGGGGAAGAGTATTGGGAGCAGGACCTGCCACTGGAATGTGGCACGCTTCCGGTGAGAGGGTGGCCAGTAGAAGGAAACATACCATGTGATCAAAACAAGCCCAAGCCTTTGTTAGCTTCAGGCTGTTCGTGTGGCAGCGGCATTAATTGGTTTTGGGTGAAACTGATTAATGCCAGTCGAGTTGGTAAGTCAAAAGAAATCGCGCGCGCGCGTGTGTGTGTGTGTGTGTGTGTGTGTGTGTGTGTGTGTGTGTGTGTGTGTGTGTGTGTGTGTGTGTGTGTGTGTGTGTGTGTGTGTGTGTGTGTGTGTGTGTGTGTGTGTGTGTGTGTGCGAGTGTGTGTGTGTGTGTGTGTGTGTGCGAGTGTGCATACATCTTGTGGGAAGTCTTGTCCCTACGACGATTTCCCTACGACGATTTCCCTACGACCAATTTCCCTACGACGATGAGAGTTGTTAATAAGCGCTTTTTTTTTGTGTGTGCCGCAGGAGCGTGACGTGGACGTCGAGAAGTGCTGTGTGGAACAGTGCGAGATCCGGCGGCTGGTGAAACACTGGGTGGAGTTTCAGGACAGCCAACGCATCCTCGTCACTACTCCCTCGGTTCTCGTCGGCTACCGTGTCAAGGTCTACCGTGCCGAAGGCACTACGCAGTGGTACACTGCCGTCATTGTCTCCTACAACGACAACACTCGGGTGAGCTTTTTTCTTATGCGTAACCTGCAAGTGACGTCAGTTGCCGTCTTCCGTCCGCTATTACCGAGCACTTGGAGATCAGTGACCTCGCCGTGTTTACGTTCGTGCGGCGGATCGTTTGGACGTGTAGCGCGCGTGTTTTGATCGTTTGCCTTGCGCGTGACGAATGAGAATCGTTCAGGACATTATAAAGCCAGCAGCGAGGCAGCGTTGACTGAGTATTATAACTCATGATCCTCCATGTCTGCACAGTCCGAGACCATGCGTGGTGTCGCACGTAATGGGTGAGACAGACTTTGCGCGAGATTTGTAAACGTGACTTGCCTGTTGCTCTTGAGGTCCATCCTGTCTGCCCCCGGTCGCGGCGGTGGCGCTGACTGCCAACCCGAAGGTATAGCGGGATCGGATCCCGGGTGCATTTTCCATAGAGACGAAAGTGTTTTAGGCCCGAGACACCCGCTACGGTGTAATCATACCGCGGTTTTTGGACGTTAAACCACAGATAATATTATTGGATGCTTCCTGTTTATGAGCTCATCAGCCATGTGTTCCGCTTTTCGAACAGCTCTTTCGTGCGCTCTGCACGGGTTTGTGATCACGTTTGGCAAACTCTACATTTGCCTGTTCTTGGTACTTTTTTTTTTTTATCTCGGTTAAGGTTACTTCTCGCGCAGCATGTCAAATATCGTGTACAAATCGCCATTGCGACGTGCGGCATTGACGGGAAATGCGAGAGCCGCACAGTTTCGACACGGCGTCGCCTGTGATGGCGACGCTTATAGATCCCCGAGTTGCGCAGTGTGATGTATACAGAACTTCTCCGCATTGGGACCACGTGGTTTTCTGTTTCCAAGCGTGTTCTTCGAAATTCTGTTTGCTAACAATATTGCGCTTACACGCAGCGCTATTCTTCAATTTCTGTCTTGTTTAGGTTTTTCTTTTTTTTTTCAAGCACACTCTCCGAGAGTCGGCGCTCGTTTGCCTTGACGTTTCTTGTTCAGTTTTACTACGCGCATCATTCGCTATGCACTCGGAGCACACAGATGACGTGTTCATTCTGCACGGTGCCTATTTACCTCACTCGGTTGATCGAGTAAACTTTAGCGGAGCAACACCGCGTTCTTTTCCAGTTTTTGGAAGTGAGCGCGTGTTCGCAATGTTCGAGTGAAAAAAGTCGCGGCCGCCATCTTCCCCCGTAGTACTACTACACACGCCCACGTGGGCGCCGGTGTGTGTCGTTCCCGGGCGCCGATTGTGTCGCTTATTTGCGGCGATAACGCGCCCTCGGCGTGCACGCCTGGCAGCACTCCAGAGCGGCCGACATCTGGGCCGGGCGGCCGATACCGCTCGGCATGTGCCTTGTGGAAGTGTCGCTGTTTCTTGCGGCCATTCGGGTTTTGCGACAGGCTTCGCGATGTCGGTCGGAGAGCTTTATACGTTCGAAAAATTTTTGTTGGGCGTCGCAACTGTCGCTTCGAGTAGCCTTTTGCTTTAAAATCTTTCTCTCTCTCTCTTTTTTTTAACGGTGCGTAACTGGCGCTGCTAACCCAGCCTAAGCGGGCTTCGGCGTGGTGATTTCACTGAACGGAACTATTCGGTCAGGTTCCCCCCTCTCTCTCTTTCTTTCTTTTTTTTAACGGTGCGTTACTGGCGCTGCTAACCCAGCCTAAGCGGGCTTCGGCGTGGTGCCTTCGCTGATCGGAACGATTCGGTCAGGTTCACCTTCGGCGTATTTGTCTACTGGGAGAAAGAGAGCGAGGGCCCATAAACTCGTGTCATGCTTTTGACAAGTAAAACCACATTTTCGCTTTTTTTTTTCTTACACCGCCAGCGCGCGCCCTGTCCGTGTGCGTTCTGGCACGTGTGACGCGACGGCCGAATTCAGTCTGTTCTCGTCGAGGCGCGGCCGTTTCAAACGGAAGTAGCGCTCCCCTGTCGAGTAGGAAGATATGCCTTGCGCAAGGACACCCGGTCTCGCGCGAGTTCGCCGACCTGCGCGCCGAGAGGGGAGCGCTGCCTGCACTGCGGGAACAGCTGCTCCTTTCCCGCGGCAGATGTTTGGCCACAATGGAACGCAGAGATGATGCCAGGTGGACAGCACTGCAAACAGATATTCCACTCCACCGGCGCGTTGTTTGCGATGCTCGGCCATTGTCTAATCTTACACAGCATTGCACAATGGAGATGATACTCGCCCGCTTTAGGTTGCATTCATACGATCAGCAACAAGTAATATTTGGAAATTTTCGAATGGGGGGGGGGGGGGGGGGGCAAAGCCCTTTGCGTTTGTAAGCTTTGGGTGAAGCAGGAGCCGCTTCGGACACTCCCCCCATTCTAGGTCACTCCTGGTCTTGGCCGAGAGCCGTCACTTCACTGCAGGTGCCGCCACGTTTGTCTGAAACAAAGCTGTTTGGGACAGGCTTTGAGGCTTCACTCTAAGAGAAAAAAAGAATGGAGCATTCGGGGTACTACACAACAATAATTGTCATCTGACTTGCTCGCGTTTCCTTTCTTGGAAGCCCGGCGCTGGATCCTTTCTTGTCGGGGCTACCTCACACTGGTAAGGCGCCCGCCGTTCGCAACCACAACTACCGAAACCATGGTGATAACGCGAGCAAAGCACTCGAAGTAGGTCACGCTTATTATTCTGTAGCAGAAACACTCACCGAACACTCGATATTTTTTTTTTTTTTAGTGTTCCGCTAAATTCGAGAAGTAGCGTCCCCAATGCAAAACCCAAACCCTGTTTGGGTCTCGCGCAGTGGCCTCGACGCTATTTCTTTGGGGCCCCTATTAGGAAACTCCGTAATGTGTGTGGTATTACCTCCAAAACCCACGATATGATTATGAGAGACAATGTAAAGTAGGCCTTCCAAAATTCTGACCATTTGGTGTTGGGTGCTGACGCAAAAACTTCGGGCTCGCGCTTTTCTCCAGCAATGTGTTGCTGGAAGTCTGTTAGTCACAACACGACACGTCGTTTGCTGCAGTTCATGACAGATAATTAAATACAAGCCCCCTCATTATCGACCAGTTTGGGTTTCAGAGAGAGCTCCAAAAACGAGAAGCTGCCTGGTGCAACACTATCGCCACTTAACTGTGTGCAGCGTTCGACCACGTCAGCACACAGAACTGTGACGCACTTCCGCACGGTCAGCATCAAGAAACGTGAGGGAAGTCGGGGTCTTTAGTAGGGGGATCTCCAAAGGGTCCCCCTTTCGAGGGCTCACGCAAACTTCAAAATTAAGTTAAAATACCTTCCGAGCTATATTCGCTGTTGATATTTTGCAGACGATATGCGACTGTTCCGGGGGAAACGACACCGCAGGCTATCTCGGCCGCGAAATTTTGTGTCAGTGCCCCTTTAACGTGCCCTGACTACGCACAGTAATGCCGGCTTCTACCGTTTCGCTTCCGTGGATATGCGGCCGCCACGGCCGGGTTCGAACCCGCGACCTTCCGGTCCGTAGTCGAGCACCTTAGCCAGCGATTCATGGTGGCGGACTCATACTGTCAGCGATGAAATACACGGGTGCTGTGATAGATGCGCAAAACATGGTCTCTTTTCATCGCCTGCTCAGCTGCCGAGCGCGCAAAGGTAAAAAGGACCTGGTGCTCCGACGTCGAACCTTAAGTTGTCTGCTGCTTTCTCTTTCGGGAAGTTTACGGTCCATGTTCTACGCTACGTGTAGTAGGATGCATAGGCAGGACAGTTGTACATATAGTAAAAAAAAAAACAAAAAAGACAGACAACAAGGATGTATTTTGGCACCGCACCGATTTTCCTTTGCCGCGCGTTGGGGCTTAGCCGCTCCGAATTCCAGTGAAAGTATGCCAATACCTCAGTCTATGCGCGGTGAACGGGCAAACTGTCGTGCGGGGGACACAACTGTCACTATAGGACTCGGGAGCGCCACAACGAGCGGGAACTGGCTACAAGACACGGTGTGGGATTACCGTGACTTGATAGAGCGTGCTAAAAGAACCCATTATCTAGCGATTCCTGGCGTTGTGCGACTCTCGTCGTCTAAACCTCTCCCCCCCCCCCCGCCCCCGTGTGCTCAGATTTAGGTGCACGTTAAAGAACCCCAGGTGGTCGAAATTTCCGGAGCCCTCCACTACGGCGTCTCTCATAATCATATGGTGGTTTTGGGACGTTAAACCCCACATATCAATCAATAAACCTCCCTCCCCCCCCCCAACCCTATGGGCCCTGCGCAAAGAATGTGCGACGCTCCGGATTTAGAAGCAGCTAAACAACTGCGCCTTAACTATACACTGATGCAGCCCTTGTCTTGCCGACGAAGCGTCAAGGCGGTTCAACACTTGAGACTATATATATGCCAGCTTTTCGTCTGTGCTGGATCGAAAGACCAAAGAATCTAAAACAAAGAGCGCACAGCAGTCGCCGCTGCAGATCGTCTTTTCTATGTGCCGTGCTTCGAGAAGAGTCACCAATCGGTCATTCTCCTGCAGTTTTGCCCCATTTCTGACACGTAGACCTGGCACCAACGTGGAGTGTTTATTGCAAAATATGCTCGCATCTCGGGGGCGCCGGTTCGATTCCCGGCCGCATTACGGGGGCTAAATGCGAGGACAGCCGTGCGCTTATTAGATTTAGGTGTACGTTAAAGAACCGCAGACATTATTAGCCCGCCGTTTTCATCCTCGGCATCGCATCGGGGTTTTGCTCGTATTATTATTATTATTATTATTATTATTATTATTCACGTGATCTATAGTGTCATCCATGCCCGTTTGTAAAAGTAGAAGCAACGAACATTGATGCTGCTAATTTTGAAGCTTCTCTTGCTGGAATTGCGTGCTACATCTTTAAGCTTCACCACTGTATATACACCTCAACTAACTGAACGCACCCCTGCATGAGTCGCGTTTTGTATTTTCATCCGGCCTTGTGTATAGCGTGACGGCTAACGAGGGCGCACCGGTCATCCTGTTCGCGGCTATCAACCGCTTCGGTCGGGCTGTAATCGTCCGCG